CTGAGCAGAATCTTTGTCGGGAAAGGCGCTCTTTTGTGTTCATTGTGAGCCCGAACATTTCCCTGCACTCTGTAACCCCTGAGCATGTGATACTGGCACCAAGTTGTAGAATTTCTGCACCAACCGTTCGCCGCGCTTGCATGCTGCCCCTCATCGCTCCCAGGTGTACGACTGCTGCGGGGTTTAAGGAGTAGCCAATCGCTGTTCGTTTCTGAACCGGGTGCATAAGGAAGGATTGCTGGGGATTTCAAATTTCTGCCATCCTGCTATTTGGCTGACTCTGGGGTTTCCTAAAATCACGGGTACCATTCTGGGGGTCCCCAAAAGGAGGTCTATGTTGAGCTCCTCCCCATTTAGGAGAACTACCATTTGCAGGCTATCCATTGTCTAGGGTTTAGGGTTTGGCACCTGAGAAGCAGTAGTCATGCTTTCCATCCCTGCATCACATAGGGAACAACAGTTACAGTAAAAAGGGATGCAAGTACTACTAGCACCAAGCACAATACACCCTAACATTTTCCAAAGATGTCAAGCCCAGGTGAAGATCAACTTCGGAAGGCAAAAGTGTCAAGCAACCCTGGTTGGCCAGACCATCACGCTGTTTGACTTCAACTTTGGGGAAACTTGATAGCAAGAGGTTATACGGCTTCTAATGTCCTTTTGAAAAAGAACTAGCAATTTCGGGAAACTTGATAGCAAGAGGTTTAGGGTTGCTTCCTCTTCGAGGCTGGATGAGGTTTAGAATTTTGGTTTTGGGCTGTAATTACTAGCTTGCAATTGTTGGTTGAAGCACTCAAGCCTGAAACACGCAAAGCTTCCGCATCTTCAGGATTCCGGGGCCAATCCGTACACGTCAGGCTGCACAGCTTAAAAACCCCCCAACTGCAAAGCTTTTCTTGTTACTGGTATTCGCTAAAGCGGCAAGCTGCAGGGAACGGACAGGAGCTGGTTTCGATCTTTGGGGGTCATGAAAGTCTTGATTTACGTTGCGGAGTCAACCTATACAATCGTTTGCTGCTTCATGGCGTGCGCATTTTTGAGCACGTGTTGCTCCTAGCATCAGGCAGAGACTCCCTCTGACATTACTGGCAATAAGTTCCTGTTCTGTGCTGACTGGTCACCTAGGAAAAGTTGTTCAAGTGGCCGGGGCCTTTGGCTACCTTCGCAAAGCTGGGCTCCAGCATTGCTGACTGCGACCTTTGGCTGAGAACTTGCCCCAAGCCAACATGGCGATTTTCGGGTCCCTTATTAGGATTGTATAGGTGCCATATGGTGCCATGTGGAGGTCGCCGAAGAAGGGTGCATACAGATGAGCCCTCTCAGCAGGCCTGTCATTCCCGTGCGTCACTGAAATTCACTTGAAGACAGTTGCAAGAAGCAACATTGAAACTTGGCATCTTCGTATTTGCTCAAGGTATAGCCTCGGATACAGTTCCACTGATTGCAAGATACTGTTCTTCTGGAGAACAATGATGCTAGTGAAGGGAAAAGGGAAGCCATCAGCAAGAGCGAACTTTTGATGATGGATATGTAGTGGCGGCACAAGTTCCAATTCAACATTAATAGTAGCGGTGCTTTCAGTAGACTGGCAGTAGTGGAAAGAGCAGCAGCAGGAGCAGCAGGAGCAGCGGGAGCAGCGGGAGTAGCAGCAGCAGCTGTAGCGGCAGTAGCTAGTCGCAAAAGGCAATACTACAGTGCAGGTAGTAGTGGTACTAATCGTATAGTAGTAGTCATAGTGGCAGCAGTTGCCCCTGTGAATGAACCCCTTCTCCGAATACTCAATGTTGTGCTTCAGAGCGCGCAGAATCCTTGAAGATGAATTTTGATATGGCTCCAGTATCTCAACAAGAAAGCCTTGGAGCCACGACAAGCGTTCATAATGAATTAGGAGGGAGTGATAAGGGGTGTCCTTGTTCCACGTTGTTATCGCAAGGTCTAACAACAGATTTCAAATAGAACAACTTAGAGAAGGTTTTGCTTCTCTCATAAGGCCGATATCCTACAGCAGATGTGAAGGGATGGGAGGAAAGTCAAACAGTTGATCAACGTCAGGGATTGCCTGGATTTCCTTGGCCGATGATGTATGCTATTCTTTGGCCGGTGGATACCGTGTTACCGGAAAAGGGCCGGCACGTCATTCATTTGAAGGTGAAGCCATTAGAAGGGGTAGGAAGAAGAGGATGAGAAGGAGGAGGAAAGATAGCTGACTTAAGGAGATAGAATTATAGGGGTTATATAGGGATAATGGAAAAGAAAATGGAAACTACTATGACTATTTAGGGTTTAGGGTTTATGGTTGAGACTATAGTCCCCACAGCTCAGGTTAAGGAGGGCGGCGTCAAGGATATCATGATTTGCTTCGCAAAGTTGATCGGCAACACCATGCTGGAAGTGCTCCCACCACTAAGCTTCCTAGGCCAGATGCAGAAGATGATGGAGGAGCAGTGCAAGCATTGGTTTTGTGAAGCAAGAAGGGGGGTTCCTTCAATGAGGTCCAGGTACACATAACCCAGAGGGTCCATGTACCCAATAATTAGGTACTTGGGTTTTGGGTAATAGTGATTATAGTATAGGTTTTGGGAACGTATATGATTATTAGGTACTTGGACCCTTAGGGTAAGGGAGTAGCCGAACCCTTCGAGAAGCAGAATGCACTGCATGGGATCCATCTAGCCGCATTTGGGTAACGACGTCCTGACGGGAACGTGTATCAGAGAGCATCTGTGCCGTTAGGAGAAAGACGTCCATATCAAGGTGTCCCTAAACCCTAAACCCAAAAACCCTAAACCCTATTAGCATCCTCCTCCATGGAGCGCTAAAAAGTCTGTAAAGCACTGTTTCGGATGCACATGTACAAGCTTTTCAGGCATTACTACTTCGTTCCTCTGAAACTGAATTAGGTTTAGGATTTAGGGTTTAGGATTGGTTTAGGATTTAAGGATTGACATAGCGCTGCCAAAATAAGCTTTAAATGCTGATTTCAGAGTCCGGCTGTGACGCATGGACGTTCTCCAACATGAAAGCCTTGCATGCTAAAACATCGCGCTGGGAGTGCATGAACCCTTGGCCCGCCACACATGTTCAACGCTTCTGCAAACCGCTTCAAACACAAACGTCAAACGCTGGGTGCCTGGCCTCAACAGTGCCAATTCTTGAGCATACATGGCCCGTCTTCTTTGAAAGATGCTTAGCGGGCTTCTTGCGCAAGGCTTCCCTTGTATGCTAGAGTTATGAATATAAAGTTGGGCAGGTATGAAAGGCCTGGCAGGGGCTATACCATATTCTGCTCGCAATGTTCCAGCCTTTTTTTAGCCGACTTGAGAAAGTTCCGTGAGTCACGAGAGCTTTGTGAACACTGCATTGGTTCCACAAGCTGCAAGCTCTCCCAGCTGTCGTCCCCAGCTCTGGATCACAGGCACCCGCAGTCCCACACCTACGTCGCACCAGCTTACCCCGAAGAGCCATCTTTCAGGAGTTTATCGTCCTGTTTGGCCGGCTGGCTTCCAACTTGGTGAAGAAGGCATTGAGTGAAAGCGGCGTGCTCATCCAGGAGATGGGAAGGGCTTAGTCTCAGTATGTTTTCAACATAACAGCTTAACTCAAGGACATCCACTGGGTGGGTCCGCGCGTGAGATTTAGGGAGGAGCTGCGGACGGAATTGCCATTGCTATTTGCATAGGGTTGCCAGTAAGGTCTTTTGCTGAACATACTCATACCTTCATGCAATAATTGTAGGGTTCGATCTTTCCAAGACATCCCTGTTACCGGACAGCAGCAAGGTCATTGGAGGAACCCTGTTGAAGACGTGCTATAATCCCCCTTATGTAGATTGAATATGGAATCGCCCAATTGCAGAATAAGATCCCCACATACCCCCTATTCTATCTACTTAAGGGGGAGTATAAACCCTCAAACCCTAAACCCCTTAATCATGGGTGCTTTCCCAGGAGGCAGTCCAGACGAAGTTCCCCGAGGCTGGGGCCGAAGCTGTTGTCAAAAAGTTCCACAAGAACCTGGGACTGACTGGGGTGCTGTCGTACTAGGAGTGTAAATTAAGTTGCCAGGAAGAGGGCCTATGTGTAGAGGGAGGATCTCTTTTTGACATTGGTCTGAGCAGTAATTTATTTGAAGATATTATGGTGCCCAATAGAGAGTAAGATTATGTCCTCCTTTTGGGGTATAGTATTTTGCATATGGAGTCTAATCTTACTGGGATTAACCACCCATAAAACGCTGCTCACTTGAGGGTCTTGCAAAAGGCCTGAGAAGAGAAAGTAACATAGAACCCCATGCCCGTTTTGGGATTCCATGCGAGGTTGCTGGAGAGACGCCCCATATTAATATGGCTAGCACTATTACTCCTATTATTGTTCTTATTTTTGCTGTAACTATTATGACTACTGCTATCTTATTTTTATTTCGATGTTCATTATTATCACCTACTATTATTGCCAGTCGGAAAATTTCCAGATGAGGAACTTCGAGCTTCGACTCATCAAGCGCAAGGTCTCCAAGGACTCCAAGGCTTCGATGCTCCAGAAAGCACAGAGGACCTTAGCTGAGCTATAGTCTAAACTCCTTAAAGGGGCATTTAAAGGGGGGTATTATAGGGGTTACTAAGGGGAATACTAGGAGTGTAGACTAGCTTTAAGCATTTATGGTTTGGGGTTCCAACGTTCGGCTGAATCAGAAAGATTCCTATGAAGGACCAGGATTTGAGGCCCCACCCGTAATTCCTGCAATCTCCCTGCAGCATATGGTACTTGCCCTTTTACCCATCCTTTTCCCCCAAAGACAAGGCTCCTAGAAGTACAGCCCTCCTTAAGTAGATAGAATATGGCTTTGGGTATATTATAATGAGATCCCCATATACCCGATATTCTATCTACTTAAGGGGGACTATAAGCCCATTGGGGAAATGACGGGACGGATGGCCTGAAGGGGGACTAAAATTAGAAGAACACGCCAGGACGAATCTCCGGGATGAGGACGATGATAAGCCCGAGGGTGGTCTGGGCTTCGGCGCTGCTGACTACGTCCCGCAGGCGGGCTGAAATCCTCCCTCATTGCTGAGGGGATTTGATAGAGTTGAGTGAGGGGATGCAGGTTTCCTGACAACAAGAACTGCCAGGCTTCAGAGCAAGTGTCAGCTTTTCTGCATGAAAGGTAGGCCTGATGATTTTCTAGCTCTGCGCCGTTGATGTACTAGCGGTCCGCCCATACAAGGCGTCTTGCAGCGCCACGCGTGCGGCAAGTGAACTTGTATTTGCTGGGTCGTTCTCAAAGATGGATTTTGAAGGGCGTTACGGCACTGCCAGCCGTGAACGCTTCCAGACTTGCAAGGCCATATTCACACAGAAAGCTCCCATGCATTTGAAAGCACTCAACCCTGAACCCTGCAACCTCTTTATATAAAATATCCCATTATAGTAGTTTCCA